TTTAATGTATTTGGTATAGGGCCTTACTACACAGCTTGGACTCATAGCGATCCTACTGTTTTCAGCCTGCCCAGCACTGGGATTACAGACGTGCATGTGCCGCCATGCCTGGTCTTGGTGGCTAGCTCAGCACTGGAGTTGGAGGGTTGTGGCATGTGGTGCTGAGGATCAAACCCCAGTCCCTGTGCTTGCCTAGCCAGGCGCTTAGTCCACTGAGCTATCTCACTGGCCCTTAATATATTTTAAACTAAATGTGTTCAATCTGAATTTTTAAAATCTTTTTTCCTCTAATTTTGTACCTCTTCCTTTGGTACCAGTTTTTACTGAGTTGTCAGAAATTTAAGTTGTCACATCTTCTTAACAAGCCCCATATCAAATTCTTAAGAAATTGCCAGATGTGGTGATGCACGGTTGTAATCCTAGCACTTGGGAGGCTGAGGCAGAAGTATTGTTGCGAGTTCCAGGCCAGCCTGGGCTACAAAATGAGCCAAAGGCCAGCCTGAACTGCATAGCGAGACCCTGTCTCAAAAAGACAAATTCTAACCAAATTTATAAATTTAAATCCTGAATGATCTCATTATCTCCTAAGATCTGAATAGTTCCCTTCCGTGTCTTGTGTCCTAGTCTTCGTCGTGTCTGCTGCGGCTTTCCTCCAATTCCTCTCCTCTTGTAGGACATCCTTCTCATCCATGCTGCCTCCACTTGGCTCTGTACTAGCTTCTCTTGGCTTGTGAGATGACAGCGAAGTTTCTGAGCCTGTGAACGTGGTTCTGCCCATCCACTCTTATTCTGACTGTTCATGCTTCCTGGTTTGTACTCCAAGATGCTGCACCATGTGCCTGCCATTCTGTGTGTGGACTCAGTGGCACCTCTTCTGGGATACACGGTGCTTGTTCTGCATTGCCCCTGCCTTAGCAGGAAACTCTTGGTCACCTTTCATGTCTTTACATAAGCATCAACTCTTTGGGGAAGCTGTCCTGTAATCCTCTGCAGACCTTGGATTTTCCTTGGTGATTACAGTGCATTTTATCCACCTGCAGTGTCTTAATTTTTGGCATCATAATTGGTTATGTGGGCTATTCTTTGCATGTGCTGTTGCAAAGATTCTGTCTTTTCATCTTTGTCAGTTTATTGCTAAGTATGTTGCCTGATATTGTTTTTGATATGTAGTACACTGAATAAAGGAAAAGATAATATTCACTCAAAAGAAATTGAAATTGTTCTTCTCTAATTTAACATTCATTTTTTTCTCACCTTTAAAATGTATGTTTTGTTTTTATAGGCCTTCAGTCATATTAGGAGTAACGAACCCTTTTTTTGCTAAAACACTTCAGCACTGGCCACACATTATTCGAATAGGAGACCTTAAACCTGCAGGTAAAGTATAAACTCAGGGTACTGTTTTTCACGTGTAATGTGGCTGAACAGTTTTATTTCTTCCACTTTGTTTTTATCCTTGGTTACTTTTTAAGTTGTTGGAAACTTTCTTTGAGGCAATTTAAATAAAAACCTTTGGAGAAGGGTTTAATTTCCCACCAAATATGTAGATTCTTATATGATGATAATGTTTTCTCACCAAGAGATGTCCCTCCAGTATTATGAACATCAAAACAAATCCTCAAAAATTTGAACATTTTGTGTGTGTGTGTGTGTGTGTGTGTGTGTGTGTGTGTGTGTGTGAAATGAAACAGGAACATCCAGTACTGCTGTAAATAAAACTTGCTAGAATTCTCCCAGAGTTGTCAAAAAATTCTTGGGTAGGGCTGGGAAAATAGCTCAGTGGAATAAGCACTTGCCTAGGAAGCCTGAGTTCAATCCCTGGTTCCGCCAAAAAAGAAAAAAAAATTCTTGGGTAGATTTCAAAGCAAATATATATCATATGACACAGATACTGATTAAAGAAGTGGTGGAAAGGTTGAGCTTTCCTGGAGAAAAAAACAGGCAGTATCTTGCTCATGATAGGAGTTTAATAGATGTTTATTAAGCGAGTAAATGGATTCTGAGGTTGAAGTTTGGTTAACCTAGATGACAATTTCATAATACCTCAGACCTTCCTCACTAGACATTCCTGAATCTTCACTGAGGTAGTTGGGTCATGAGATTCTGGTCTGGTTTTTTTTTTTTGTTTT